TTGATGAAATGGTGGCCTTCAGTAATTACCTCTGTTCTTCATGTTCAAGTTTTTTTCTTTTGCAAAGATCTCCTAATACAGAGCACCTGCTCTCCACGTGGTGAAGCAGTTTTGAAGGTTTTATCACTTGGTTGGATAAGTTACATATTATACAAAGTGGACTTGGATAAAGAATGTGAATCACCTGCTGCAATGAATTCATAATTTAAGTAGGACTCTTGGCATTTTCTGTTAAATGCTGTTAAATTCAGTTTTCTTTTTGTTGTTAGTCCTGAGAGTCTTGGTTGTCTCATCATTGGGTCTTTCCCCCTTTTTATAAAAGCTCTTCAGTGATGTTTTTACTTATTTTGGCTAGGATTAATTATGGGTGTTCCAAAACTGTGACTAAGACAAATGCACAGCAAGGGAAAAAGGTACAGATAGAAGTGATGAATAAAATAATAGGCCACATATGGACTAAAATAAGCATTCAATTCTGACTTAAGCCTACAAGATGAAGCTATACAAGTGAAGTATTGTACATCAACTCACTTGCTACCATAAAGCCTGCCACTAGGTACATCTTGTTACTTACCACTCACTGATATAGTTGGTTTTTTTAGCTTTTTTTTTTTTGGTACCGGCGATCGAACGTGGGACCCTGTGCTTGTGAGGCAGGCAGCAGAACCACTGAGCTAAATCCCCAGCCCATCACTGATACAGTTTTGATATGAGTCTGCAAGCAACTGCTTTATCTCTCTATGCTTCTGTTAAGCTGTATTTGCAGCTGCTCTCTAACATAAGCATTACCACCTGGCTCCACCTCAGATCATCAGGACTAGATTGTCTTATGGAGCATACAGTTGGATCCCTTGTACCAGTTCACAGTACAGCTCCCACTCCTATGACAATCTAACGCCACTGCTTATTTGAAAGGAAGCAGTGACAATGCAATAATACAGTGATATGACAAGTGATAATGCAAGTGATAGTGACTGGCTGGAAATACAGAGGAAGCTCTGATCCCTTGCGTGCTGCTCATTTCCTGCTTTGTGGCTGGGTTCCTAACTCCCAGAGTCTGGGGATGCCTGTTGGAGAAAGTTTCCAGAAGTTAGCAATAAATTACCACAAATTTGGTGATTTAAAACAATAAAAAGCTTTCACAGTCTGGAGGACAAGAAGTCCAAGATCAAAGTATTAACACTGCTTTGTTCTGGAGGCTCTACAGGAGAACCTGTTTCATGTCTTCTGCTATGGCTATGGGCATTCCTTGGCATTCTTTAGCTGTTGACACACCATCTCACTCTTATCTGTCGAACAACCTTCTCTTCTGTGTCTCAAGTCTCTCTTTGTACTTTCTCTTATAAAGATACTAGTTTCACCATGAGATTCTTACTCTTACATCTGCAAGAACTTTTATTCCAATAAGGTCAGATGAACTTCTGGGTGGACATATCCTTCTGGGGTCCCTATTCGACCCGCAATTGTACACACAAGAATATATGAGAAAGGGTAAAAAAACTGTACTGCTAATTTATACCTCAAAAGGTTGTAATAATTTGCACTTGTACTAATATAACATTAAAGTGTTCCCTCATATTCTTGCCAACTTTAAATTTTTTTGCTAAATTGATGTGTTAATAAGTAAAAAATAATGTAATATATTTGTTTCACTTTCATTTTCCGAATTTATAGCAAGTTAATCACTTTTTCATGTAGTGGCCATCTGTACTACTTCTGTTAACTATTCCTTATAAATTTATTTTCTAAAGATGATTTCCTCTTAACTTATTAAGAATTCCTGACAGTCTGGATATTAATATTTTGCTCATTATACACAGTGACAATTTTGTCCAGGTCTATCACTAATCTAACTTTATCTTTAACCACATATTTTAAGCAGTTATTTAACTATCAAATTTTTCAAATCTATCAAATTTTTCCTTTATGGTATCCAGGCTTTGTTTAACACCTAGAATTTTTAAATTTCCTAAGTTTTATGTGACATCAAGTAATAAAAAATATAGAACGAGTTGCAGGAGAAATATTATGCTATCGTCTGTAAATGCTTGAAATATGAGAAGCTAGATAATACTCTAGGCTACATGTGAAAATATGGGAAAGGAAAATTTGTAAAAGGTTTAGATGACTTAACAGTTGAACAACTACTGATACACAACGTTGTAGGCAGTCAGAATGAAAGAGATAGAAGACATACTTCTCCTCTCTAGAAGTTTAAAATTTAAATGGGAGTAAAAATATTTTAAGTAGCAAAGACTACAGAAAAATTATTAGCAGTGGACTTAAAACCAATGAAGTCCATGGAACTGATAGCACAATAGGAAAGAATTCTGATGGGTCTCACATAAATGATGGACTGTAACTCTAACTCCAAAAAAAAAAAAAATATTTTTTTTAAGCTTTTACCAACATATATGCAACAAACAAAAGTATATCTATCAAAATTATACAGCTTTATGAACTTTTGTTAAAAAAATAATTCCTTTGTATAACCAGTACTCAGCTAAAAAAAAAGTAGCCGACCAGTATTACAAGAGCCATTCTAATCGCTTTTAGTCATACTGCAACATCTCAGATAATTTTAACTTTTTTTTTTTTTTTTTTTTGAGATACGGTTTCACTATGTAATTCAAATTGGCCTTGAACTCACAGTGATCCTCCTGATTCAGAATCTTGAGAACTGGGTTTACAGCAGTGCACCACCATGGCTGGCATTAACTATTTCTGTATAATAAATAGAACAATACATTGCATATTTCTCTCAAAATATGTTTATGACACTCATCCAAATAACTGCCTGTAAACTGTATGTCTTTTGTTCCCATTACTACATAGTATTCCACTGTGTGAATTTGTTAGCTTATTTATTCATTACATCCACAATGGCTTTTTGGTATGGTTCCTGGTTCTGAGCTCTTATGAAAAAATACAGCTATGCTCATTCCAGTTTCTTTCCTTCTGGTAAACACATTTTCATTTCTGTTGAGAATATACTAGTAGTAGAACTGCTGAGTCATAGAATATACACGCAGTATATACTGCTAAATAGTTTTTCAAAGTAGTGTAAAACTATTTCAGCAATGTTCCAGTTTGAAATGTTGTCAATATTTATTTACCATTTTTTTCATTTTTAGCCATTCTGTTAAGTAGTAGGCAGCAAATAATTATGGAAAACGTGAAACTTCAAGTAATAGATACAGACAAGACAGTAACACTCTTAAAACAGTAGAATAATGAGAAAAAAGCTTTAAAAAGAATATGGATATTAACATTTATTATAATTTATTTCACTAGTAATATGACAGGGGAAGTAAAAGCAATAAAGAACAAAGCAAACACCAGTTCAATCATGGAGCCACCAAACAGTCCTTAAAAATAAAGGAAAATAAAAAAAAGGCAAAGTAGAAAGCATGACAAATAAATAATGTTCTGAAAACTATAACTTACAGTATATGTTCTCTAAAATATTATGATCCATACTTTTCAATAGAAACAATTATTTTATTTCAGAATGAACATCAGTAACATTTTATGAAAATATTAAAATATATTTCAGCAAAAAGTTTTCTGTGCTAAGTGTACAAAACTGCCTATTTGTACTATGTAAAATAGTTCTTTAAAAAACTGTAGTATTTGATCACAGCATGTATTTTCAGTAAAAAAAAACAAAACAAACAGAAGTAGAACCTGTAATACTAGAATTAAAAGTTTAAAAAAATCTCAGACATTCACATAAAACCATTATAAAAAATTCTGACAAAAAGGGATAATCTTAAGTTACTTCTATTTTGCAAGTGACTGGGATTATGACCTGGCCTCAGCCATAGGGTTCTAGAGATGGAAAATCATATTTTATGACTTGACACAAAAACTTATCCCAGGGTTAGCTGAGTACCCTTTGCAAAAAAACCAATACATCTTACTCACCAACATGTTAGGATCTAAAACTACTGATCAAATTACCATATACGGTTCTTCACATAGCTGGTGGAAAGTGATCAGATAATTATATATTAAATTCTGTTAGAGGTAGTTTGAAATGTTTACTCATTTCTTAATAGGGATTTGTAAAATTGTATATATTTTAAACATGACACAAAAACAGAAATTATAAGCTTTAAGAATAAAGTAGAAAGCCACAAATGACACCTAAGATCATGTTAATAGACAAAACTTCCACCTTTCTAAATAAAGTTTTCACTTACTAAGTCTCCCAAGTCACTGGATGATTTACACATAACTCCAATTTATTAATTAATAAGTAATGACTCTTACAACACAAGTACATTGTAACCAGTGATAGAAATTACATGATTTCCTAGTAGGATTTTCTTTTATTTTTGGTGGTAATGGGGATCAAACCCAAGACCTCATACAAACTAAGCACATGTTCCACCACTGAGCTAACCTCTTTAAGGTTAGAATCTCTAATATGTATATTTATGTTAGGTATTTTATACTTAGTAGAGTACTTAACAAAGTTTGTAAAACATTTATATACTGAAAATATAATTAAAATTTTTAAATTTTAAGAAGTATAAAATACCTTCAGATTAAAAGCTTTATGAAAACCATTAAAATGTTAATTAAATATGACAAGAGATTGAAATGCAACTCTCTGATGGCAAAGAATTTTTCACTGAAGAGACAAAAAGATGGTTGGGAACGAAAGAGAGTGAATGCTATAAAACTAATCACACAGAAACATTGAAAACAAGTAGCCATCAATGTAGGAGTATGTAACGTAATGTGGTACTACAATAGTGAATCTTTAATCCAAGACAATGCTAAATTGTCCTCAAAAAAGATTGATTAGACTTAAAATATTTTATCTAAACACAGTGGGAATGCCACATTATAAGGAAAACAGTTAATAGCACAAATGTTAACATAATAAGATATGCTGATAATATATGAGAAATACTAAGATCTGTTAGTGTAACATGTTATGCCAGATATAACGCATCACACTAAAAATAAAATGATAAAAACTCACTCACTATCTTCTGTGGGAAGAACTTGTAGGGAGTAAATCCATTCTATTATATCATCTTTGTTCACCACATCTAAGGAGTCCAACATATCCAGCCCAGAGAGTGCAAAAAATGCAATTGTCAACCTAAAAGAAAAAAAAAAAACAAAACACGTGAAATCTTCCTTAAATGTTAAACCACTGAATTCCTTCACTTTTACAATAATTTAAACAACCCCCCACGTTGTCAAAGCCAACCCCTCACAATTCTTCAGATGTAAAACTATCAGTGAAAACTGTTTTAATTTTTTAAAAAGGAACATTTAGGGGCTAAGAAACCAATCCTATTCAACTGAAGCACTAATGAATTCACTGAAGCCAAAATAGAGCCACCATGATTTCAAAAACATAATTGTAAATAAGCCAAAGGCTAGGAAATACAGTCTGAAAAAAATATAAACACACTTCAGCAGTTCACCCTACTAATAAATGTCTGGAAGCTAATGGCTACCACTCTGAGCACCTCTTGTAATTGCAGAGGTCAAAGATAACCTGTATTAATCTCATGTGATGTCTCAATAAATTTAAGGAAGCACCCATCCTTTCCAAGATTTTGTACTAAGTCAAAATTCTAAACCTTGTGTCTAAAAATCATTTTAGCATCTGTGCTTAGAAGTTTCTTAATAATAATTGCCTTTATATTGAGATACATTCTATAATGAATGTTCATAGTCTAATAAAATTCTTATGAGCAATAGTAATAAACAGTTCAAATTATCTGGCCTACAGTCTTATAGCAGAGCTACTTGCTGTATACTACAGTCTTTTTTTTTTTTTTCCTGGTATTGAGTACTGAACTCAGGACCTTGCGTTTGTCAGGCTAGTGCAGCACCACTGAGCTACATTCCCAGCCTCATATGTTATAATCTTTACAAAAAAGTCCCAAGAGAAAAATAAGTTTTAGTGCCCTGAGCCTTAGGGTTGAAGGCATCTACTGTATGTAATAAATTATGCATCTAAGATTAGAGTTATCTAGATTATTTTAATTTTAGGAAAAATGGAAGTCATTTTTTTAAAGACATAATTCTCTGATGTTTGGTGGAAAAAAGCTGGCACTCACTAGACAACAGAAGGAAAATATTACATAGTGATTCAATTTCCAAACAAACTTCAAGTATAAAAACTAAAACTAAGGAGATAATTGATATGCCTAAGAATAATAAATATTTGGGGACACATTTTTTTAAAAAGTATAAAAATGTTTTGGAAACTGAGCTAAGAATCTACACATAGATGATCTCAATTTAATTCTAACAACCCACTGAGATCCATCTAATAAGGGAGGTGATTCACATCAGGATTAATTTAAGAGTCGTAGAATCCCTCTACGTGGGAAACAGTGTTACACAACAATTCAGAACTAAGACTTTGTAGTTGAATATGCTAGCTTTGGACAATTTTTAGCACATGATTCACCAGATACCTAACTTTTCCTATGTCTTAGCTTTGCACAATGATGTAAATCATTATTACACATCACAGTTACTGTGCTTACCTGCCTCTAACAATACATGAAACCATTATTTTGGTGTTTGACCTGTTTTGGAGGGACGTAAGTAACAAGGACTTAGAATTTAATCACATCGTCTAACACTCATAAGGGCTTAGGATCTAATCACATTTGTAACCAAGGCCTTCCTTCTAGATACTTCACTGGCAAGTGTGATGGTTAAGCTTAACTATCAACTTGTTTGGTGTGAGTTGTCTAAAGCATTAGTAAAGCACATTTCTGAATGTGTCTGGGTAGGTCATGGAAGAGTGAAGTTTGGTTGCTGGCCCCTTCCTCCCTGACACTATTCCCCTGCTCTGCTTCCCAGCCACCATGAACTGAGAAGCTTCCCTCTGTCAAGCCCTTCTACTTTGGAGCTAGGCAATCATGGTAAGAATCCTCTGAATCCATGAGCCAAATAAACCTATCCTCTTTTAAGTTATGAGTATTAGGTAGTTGTCCCAGCAATGGGAAAGTTATTGCAGACAATTGGTACCAGACAAGTGGGGTTGTTGCTGTGACTATGGATTCAGAAGCCTTTGGAACTGGTTTGTGGAAAGAATTTAGAAAAGTCTGAACACGAAAGCTAAAAAAGTCCAAGAATGCTGTAAACAGAGCCTGATGGGTGGTTCCAGTCAGAGCACAGAAGATCAGAATGCTGACAGGAATGCAGATAGTAAAGGCCAGCTTACTGAGATTTCCGTTGGGAGTGAGAACTCTTTTGTTACGTGAACTAGAGGCCATGAATCTCATATTGTGGCAAACATTTGCCTACATTTTGCTCATGTCCTGAGACTTTGTGGAAGGCTGAGTTTAAGGGCAATGGATTAACTAATCTAGTGGAGGAAATTTCAAAGCAGCCCAATGTTTGTGTTGTGACATGAGTACTGCTTGCTTTTAGTCAGATGTATAATGAGAACTGGGAGCAAAAAGCAGAGCAGAAGTACTTGAAAAACTTAAATTCTGGATGGAAAAGAACCATATGCGAAGCTTGAGCCAAAGGAGGGGTGGCTGCTGAAGAGATCAGCACCATTAAATAGAAACCAAGTACTACCATTAAAAAAGGAAAAAAAAAAAAAGACTATGAACTGGAGCAAAGATGAAAGATGTTTTGAGTGTACTGCAACAATCAGCAAAACCCCACCCATAGCAAGCTCAGTTCTGTACAAGTGTAAAGCTTTCATTTGAGAAGACAGTCCCTGAGCCTTTTGCTGGAAGAGGACCACTAAGGAAATTGGTTCCCCATATTCATTTCACTGTGCTTAGCCATCCAGAATCTTCTGCAATCGTGGGCCAAGGGGTACCTGGCTATTGCACACACTGCCAACAGACAATGAAATTGTCTGCAAGATGTTGGTTGTTCAGGACTATAGAATGCTACAGTTGTGGGGTCATGGATGCTTCCACCCAGATTTCAAGGAAGGCTTGGGAAGTCAGTCAATATGGCAGAGGGGTGGATATGTAAAGCTGTGGGAATTAAGATAAAGATGCAACAGAGACACTATGATGTTGAAGCTCTAAGGACTGCAAGATACCTGGTGAGGCCCTCAGGAAGCAAATGTAGCCAGTCCAAGAGAAGTTGTGTGGGTGGCAACCAGCGAAGATATATATGGTAACACCATGTGTCCTGGATACTGACATATACAGTTACAGGACTTAATGTTTGGTCCTGTTCTTTTCTACTTCCATTTCCTCCCTTTGGAATATTTATCCTGTACCACTGCATATTGGGATTAAGTAAGTTGCTTTTTGAAAGGATACTTTGACCTGGACTTTTAAGCAATGCTGGGATTCTTCAGCACTTTGAGAAGGAGCTATGCATTTTTTATGCAGGACAGTTGTATCATGTTAGGTAGAATTATGAACTTGTTATTATCTTTATTTGGAAATTAAGTATGATTTAGGAGATGTGTTTGGATGTTAAATTGATAAGGGATAGAATGAAATGATTAAGCTTGTCAAGTTGATCATCTTGTGATCAAGTGTCCTAGGGGATTAGTAAAATATACTTAGGGTGGGAATGGATAGTTCATGAAGGTGGTCCCTGGGGTCTATATATAATCCTTGGTCCTTTCCTGACACTGTTTTCTTGCCCTGCTTCCTACTGGCATGAACTGAGAATCTTCTTTGCCAGGTCTTTCTGCCAAGATGTATCTACCTTGGAGCCAGGCAATCAGGGACTGAGTCCTTCAAAACTATGGCCAAGTAAACTTCTCCTCTTTTTAGTTGTATAAGATAATTGCCCCAGCAACAACAACAGCAAAAAAAGCTGACGAATAAAGCGATCTTTCCCCCTAATGAAATGTTCTGCAAACTCCTGAAGGGGGAAAAAAACCCCCAAAAACAATAACAAACAAAAACCTATAACACTCACCAAATCTGAAAATCAGTTATATTCCATGAGATAAGGTCTACTTTGTGAAATGTATTTTAAAAATGTACTGAATTAATAACAAAAGATGTTCAATGCCACCTTTAATTTTCCTAAAGAGATTTAACTGGGTTTCTAGCTTTGGTAAAACCCACAAAATTATATTTATGATCAGATCAAATTAAATGTCTAACAAGCCTTAAGAAATACAAAGGAAATTTAGGCTTTTGGTGGCTGAGAGAAATATTGGGTTAATGGTGCTCTAATGACTGTTACTTGGGGTATAAACTTCTAGGTAACCTACCTCATGTATATATATAGAGAGGGGAGATCTTTTCTATAGAGGTATCTATAATTAGGCCAATCAAGTTATTTTCATTTTAATACTTCTTTTGGAGAATACATGTCTGCTTTCTGCCTCTCTTTTACCTAGAACTGAATCTCCTGAGTCTGTAGTCTAAAAGCTGAAGCAAGTAAGCCATACATACCTGCTCTTTTCCTATTCAATGGAAAAGTAAAATTTTCTACTTAAATAAAGTAATTTACCCAAAAGGATGGATAAACTAAACATTTCCAAAAACTTAATTTTCCAGGTTTAAGGGATCCACTAAACCAAACCAACCAACCAAACAAACAAAAACTGATAAAACATTAAAAATATGATGGGAAATAAGACAAATGAAAAACAGCACACAATGGAAAAAGAATTTAATGACATGAATACGCTATGTCTAAGTAGTGTATTGTCAGACTAGAGCAGCAAGTGATAATTTGGAAATATACTAGAACATCTGTTCATAGAAGTTGAATAGATTCCCAAATTTTGGATCACTTGCTTTGCTCTTTTCTGGTACAACCCCTTCCTTTACTGATACTTGGAAGTATCTTTAACAATGGATTGCATGCCTACCCATATCTTAGTTGGGACTACAGCTCAATCATAGTGCAGAGTTCTCAATCTATAATAAAAAGCAGCTAAATTAAGAAATAGAAATACAGCTCTCTCATATTTGGAATCCAGATGCTTAAATAGAGCAACATGAGCAAGAGGAACCAGAAGAGGAAAGTGGGTCCCCAGGACTCAGCAAGGATTTGAAGGGAGAATTAGAGCCTCTGAGGAGAGTAATGAGAGGGAACACAATGTAGAAGAGGGGGATGGAAAATGGCACTATCTTCTGGCTTACAGGGGTGGACTGAACCTGCAGAAGCATGGTGACTACTGGAACC